AAATGAATAATTAAAGTTAATCTAAGAAATTGAAATTACATATTCTCTATTTGAGAGTATTTGATTCGGGGGTCCTTTCTCTATGTCTTATCTTCCTTTTTATATTTCCTTGATGATTTTTTCGTGATAAACCGCTTGGAAACTGTATGATTGCTCTATAACTACCCACTTTCTTCATGGTGGCTTACTTGTCGTGGAACTGTCATCTCTAATTGCTGCAATTACTCTTTGTCGTTCAACCGCCTTCAACTGGGCTCCAAATCGTGGAATGTGATAAGATTGCTCGATAACTGCTTCAATAACTGCTATTCTGGATAACCATAATGTTTCATGTTTGCTAAGATCCTGGACGATTCGAAGGTTTGGACGAGAATGGGGTCATCGCTCTAGGTGATCGTAAGGCACTCCATTCGCTCAGATTCTGGGCATCTTGCAAGCTTGAGCGATGATGTTACTGTATTTGTGAGCTTCCACTGCATTCGTCAATAATTTTATTTGGGTCTTTATCCTAGACCCCCCAGTTGGGCTTCACTCTTTGAGCTATTTAATTTGAACTGCACTTTTAGTGTGTCAACAAAACCTTTCTTGAATCATCCTATTACCAACACCATGTCCCAATGTCATAAAAAACATACATACTGCCTCTTCTAATTGTACTCCTTTACTTGAACACAACCCATTACTTCTTAATCTGTCACATAATTTGCAAAATACATGTTTTTCTATTCGAAACATCTCTTGACATCGCCTATCATTTCCATTAAGTATGTACAAAACGAACTTCATTCCTATATGAGAGGAATTCCTACATGGTTCATTTACCAAAAAAGTGTTATGATGTTGCACAATTTTAGCAGCAGTAGTAAGGACAAGTTCATTAAAATCCGTTTCATCTCTCATGACTTGATTTATGCATTCTTCATGCAGCTCTTCATCTGATTCATCTTCCATTATGTAATCATATAATTTAATATTGGGGTTCCTTTAAAGCTACAAAAATCTCTCTATTTGCTTTCTTTGTGAATAGTGGGTGGGCGCGGGTCAGTTCAGTTCGATTTTTTCGGTTCCAGAAATTTTCGGGTATTTAGTAAATGGAACCGTCGGTTCCAAATATAATTTTGGAACCGTTCGGGTTCGATTCGGTTCGGTTCCGTACTATAATTAAATTTTTTAACATTTCAAATAATACTACATAAATACACCTG